TACCCATTAGGACAAAGCTCAGCCAGGTCTTGCTCCTTCTGTCAATATAAAAGGCTTCACCACAAGTAGGAAGGTTGTTATCAAGATAGTAACAACAGTGTAGTATCGGATGAATACTACACTGTGGTTCCAAACTATGAAGGAAAAACGAGGGAGACTTGACAAGAACAAAAAGAATGAGCTATTAAATTAAAAATGAAAAAAAAAATCCTAAGAACATTTTTCTTCGAGTTCTCTTTATCTGCTCTTCCAGGTGCCCTCAACTACTGCATCTTACGGAACTCCTACATGCACAGTTTTTATCTTCTGCAGTCCATGGGGCAGGAATTTGCTCTGCCATGAATCTAAGAACCACCATATATCACTTTGTGATGCTACTATGGATTTAATATTAAAGCACTTCTGAGAGAAATTATAATCCAGCACACTGTTTTGTGCACAAATAAAGTAACTTTATATGTTACATTCTATTATCATAGCTTCAATTACAGTATCCAAGAACACTGCTGGAGAAATAAAATCGGTTTATCTTTTAGAAGGAATAAGGTTACATTTTTAGCATTCATACTTTAATGCAAGATAGTGTTTCCTATTGTTTTACCTGTCTTGAAATAAGAAGCAAAACCCCCACAATTTTACTTCATCTTACGAAAGTAAAAACCAAAACAAAAGTACTGCTTCCTAGAAAGTTAAGGGACACGTAACTAAAGTTTTCTGGATTCTCCTTTCATATAGAAAAGGAGATGGTGATGATGGATGAACGTGATGGTGGATCTTTCAAGTGACTATTCTTGAAGAAGCTTTTCTCAATAAATACGTAATAAAAATAAATTAATTTTTATCTCTGATTTAAGACCTTTAAGATATGAGAATACTGGACTTACAACCAGAATTTGATGGATAATAACTTATCTGTAGCTTGAAAATTACACATTTTAATGCCCTTGCCAAACATATAAAGTCTATCGCTAAACAAGTTAGCAATGCATTAACACGTACCAAGGTCAGTACAAAAATAATGCGAAAAACAAAAGAAATTCTCTGGATTATTTCCTCCCCGGACTGTCTAATTCTTGTTACTCAATTCAATCAAAAGAAGGCTGACATAATCACACTGTCATAGTGATTCAACTCATACAAAACAGTCCAGGGAGTTTTTAATAATTAGATGCTCAAGTCTATTTTATTATTCCAAGAATGCTGGATAAATGTAATGTTCATTATTTTCTTGAAAGATAAGAAAGACTCTTAGATTTTCTTCTCATTACTACAAGTTCATCAATCACCTGCTTACATGAAGGAAACAAACCTGCAACAGCAGCTTTATTCTCCTCACCTCTGGGAAGTGTATAAGAGAATCACACAGGGAAGCAGAGATGCTTCACAAAACTTTGAATCTCGATGCCATTAGTCATTTATGCATCATCACAAGGTGACTGTGTAATGTTAAGGGCATAACTACTCACAATTTATTTGACAAAACAAAGAAAAGTATTTAAAAGCATTACAAAAATATTTGAAATGCTAAAAGTACATGCAGAGACAGATGGAGAAAGACATACTGAAATATTCACACAGAACTGCCTTTTTTTTTTTCCCCTCTTGTTCAAAAGCTGGTGTGGACATTAATTTCATCCTGACAGTATCAACTGTAATGGAACTAATTTAAAGAGTAATAATAATGGACAACCCAAAAAATATTTTAGAGCTGACAAGAAATTGTTTTAATTTATAATTTTAATTAACTTTAGCTTTTAAACAATTTCTCAAAAACAGTTGATGGCTAAATTCATACTCTAATGATTGAATACTTCATTCTTTCACAGATTAATGCAATAAAATAACATCCATGGCACATCTATCCCTCTTGACAATCTTGTTATTAATTCAGATAGACACAGATTTTGTTTTCTTAATTTATTGAGAAGACATAGCAAATCACAGATATATAACTGAGTTGCAACTAAAAAATTTAAATCCTAAAATAGAGTCAGATTATTTTCATAAGACAAGTTTGATAAACAATGAAATTATTTTTGAGTCAGATTACTTTTTTTTTGCTTGAGTTTCCACATCATTTATTTCCCTTAATTCTGGACTCAAAGGCTAGAAAAGGATAGCATGGGAACTTTTTGTTACGCAGCATATACACAACATGCTCAATTTTTTAGAAAACACAGCAGAAGATTACCTGTTCCCCTTGAAAATATATCATATAGATAGTATCAGGACTAAAACAAATACCAGATCTGAACTTTGCCTTATGGGGCTGGTCCTTTAAGAATACCTGGGACAATTCTACAATTCTAAAAAAATAGTTTTATTTTATATATATAGAATGTTCATACACACAGTCACGCACACTCCCTCTTTTTCCTTCGGCGTCAAAGATTCTCATTGGAGCTTTCCTTTATCCTCTCAAAAACAGATCTAAATAAGGGATATAAAACTACATCTAGTGAGCAAACTAAGCAATCCATGGTGTGATTGCCTAAACTGTTCCTTTTGTATTTTATGAACACTACCTGAAATCATAGACTTCATCCTGCAATAGATTTTATGTATCTGCTTAAATTAAATACTATAAATGACATACACAGGAGTAAAGTTAACCACATCCATCAACTTTGCAAGATTAGCACAGATCTCCAATTCTGAATCTGTATTTAGACTAAACAAATAATAAGGGTCTAAATTGCAGCAAGAAAGATCTCATATTAAAGGGTTGTGAAACACTAGAGCAAGTAGAAAAGAGCATGTAAGAAAAACCTCCCTATGAGGAGGTTTTTAAGAACAAATTAGGCAAATCTCTGGCAAGAATGACATTTATAGTCAAATCTACCATGCAAGGAGAATCACTGATTAAAAAACTTCACTTCAAACTTATTTTTTCTTGATTCCATGATAAACTGCAAAGTCAAATAACAAACCAATCCAAAAATAAGTCTCCCAAAATTCTAGATCCATTTGTTAACTGTTGAAAAAGTGGCTGAAGTCCAAAACCTACTCTTGCTGAACACTGAAATTGGGATCAGCTAAAAGAGTTCTCCATCCAACAGTCAATACTGTCACCACACAACATCAGAACTCTATTTACTGCTATCATGGTTGAGTATGTTTGTTTTGAAATACTAAGGGAAAAGATTAAATCTAAAAAATGAACCATTGTTCAATATTCTATCCACTGTAAGACCAGGCCAAGTATTTATACCTCTTTAAAAAGAGACAACATAATGCAATCCTAAATTCTGTTCTGCTTAACTGCTATGTAATGTATCAACATCTAATATGCACCACATATAACCTGATTTACACACAGACTTTGAACAGCAGCTGAGTAAATTTGCCACAAAAGTTCCATGCTAATACCTTAATAAGGAGGTTGCAGCAGTGTTCAGACATCCGTATTCTAGTGTTTCATTTAAAAACAACGTAAGTCCCTGTATAAAACTGAATGTTATAGGTCTATTTACCTACAAAGTATTATGAGACTTCATTTAGTTTTATTAGCAAAATACAGAAGGGGAAACATCCCTCTAATATCTAAAAGGAAAGAACACCAAATAATAAATGGAGATTATATGGCATAGAGGGAGAGAAATGGTGCTTCGGGATCAGAGTAAGCAGCTTGAATATGACATGTTGGGAAACAAACCCAGTGAACTGCCCAAAGACATTTGTGCAACTAAACAAATTTAAGCATCGCCTAGAAATAGCTTTTGGACTCAGAACATAATCCTATCCAAGAGAGAAAAGAGAAGCCTAGAAGCTGTACATTAGAACACCTTTCCATCCATAATCCAAAAAGTATCAAGATCTACCCTTACGTTACTCGGATAGAGTTACTTCTTTGTCACTCAAAATATGGTCTTTAAACCACCTCACATCAAGGAAGAACATTCTTGATGCATGACCAGTCACGCTGTATTTTGCTTCAGTCTCTTAAGTCTCTTTGATAGCTTTACTTGTATCCACATTCTGAATGAAGCTCAGAACAAAGTGCAGACCCAATTTCCAACTGAAAATTCATCCCTGTGGGTCCTGTTTGCAGAGGCAAGCAGCATTTGCCTTTCCATATATGTAGGTTATATCTGAGATTTTCCTTACATTTAAGGCAGTCTCCAGGCTGAAATAGATACAACTCTTTAATAACCGCTGCTTATCAGGTGTTTTACTTCAGCTGCCTTACCTGTGTATTTTCTTTGCTGTAAAATGCCCCTAGCAGCAAATGACAGTGATACACCATTTTGGACAAACATACATCCACAGGAACACAGTAACTGAAAAAACTAAATGAATTTGTCTTGTCTAAGCTTAGAACTTTTTTTTTTTTAAAGACAGATAGAATCAATTTATTCTGGCAATGGCATTCAGAAAAACATGTATTTAACTGAGGCCAACTTAGAGCTCACTTTACAGATTCTCTGCTGCTTCTCTTGAATTCTTTGACAACTTTAAATATTGGTTCTGAAGTTACCTGGTCACAGTTTCTCATCAGAAAGCCTCTCAACACTAAAGAATTGGTATCTCCCTCCACCAACACCAATGACGAATGTCTGTTCTGAGAGAGGTAAATTTGAGGTTGTTGAGTCTTTATCCATTTCTCAGAATATCAAGAGTAAGACTTAGTAAAACAGCTTTATCTGTCATTTATCCTTAAAAATAACATGACTGTAAGCAGGCATAATATGAATATACATGTGTCACTTGAGTGGGAGGAGCTAAAGACTTTGTTCTCAGTTAGACTTTATGGAACTTCAGCAAGATCTGTGGCACTGCATGGCTATAACCAAATGTTGAATCTAGTCGTGCAACACTTAACGAGGGAGGTGAACTCATAGGGATGTACATCCTCATTTTGCTTATATTGCAAAACAGTGACACCCGCTGGCAACAACAGCTTAAGTACTTAATTGTTGCAGTCTGAGTCTACTTGATAAGAGTTGCTAACAAGTTTATCTTGAGAAAAATTTATCACAGTAACAACCATAGAAACTTACCTGTTGAGTCAGCACTACTGCCTGAGTTTTCAGAAACTGCACTACTAATAGCATCTGGAGTAGCTGCAACATAACCCTCTGGAGGAAGATCCACTTTGTAAATTCTTCTTGGAGACATAATTGCATCACTACCTACAAAACAGAAAAAAACCCAAATATCTGCCTCAATATTGGTCTCACTACAGATTTTCTCAAATGTTTTTCCAATCACGGCAATAAATGTTCTCGAAAATCCTTACAGAGGGTCAGTTGTGGAACACTGAAATTATCCTACAACCAACAAAACTGCACCAAATTTTGTAGCAGCTACAAATAAGCAATTACTCCATGGGTTAGTTCTTTCCACCAGAAACATTTTTTGTCCTTTGTATGAGGCAAATCTTCTGCTCTAACTTCAGAAGACACTTACAGTGATATTTTAAGAGAGATTCTAAACATTTTTCCCCATTCAGCATGAGCAGACATTATTTCTTTAAGAACTGTTTCACAAAAGATGGATGGATGGAGAGATACAAGCTGATTATGCAGTGGCAGAAGCAACAGAAAAAGAATCACAGAACTGTGGTTTGCCCATGTGTAGACCTTTTAAACATAGCCTATCCTGTTCTAAAGGATGCAAAGATAAAGGGAGTTTGAAAGCCACACTTAACTAAGCCTCAGCAGGGCCTGCTCATCCCTGCTGTGCTTCTTTCTGTGAGGGGGAGGGAGGGGAAGAGCCAAAGGCTAGCTTTCCAACTATTTTATTGTATAGGAAACTACTTGTGGTCATGGCAGCAGTCTCATTTTGTAGGATTCCTTTCCTGTTTAAAAGGTATTTAAAAATACGTGCAAGAGCGGCAGTATAAACCTCTACTGTGTTCACGAGACAAATAGCTCTGTAGGAGTGACAGAGACACATCTCTGCTCCAGTTAAATGAAAACAGTCCAAATACCAGACTGTATTTCTTTTGCTCAGTAGTGACAACAGCAGAGACCAACCACAGGGAGAAAAAAGCCTTTCCAGAAGGCCAGAATGCCAGGGTGTTTCCAGATGCTGCAATGTAGTTTTAGATGGCTCAGTGTTGTTTTGTTTTTCTTTTTGGTTTATTGGGGTTTTTTGGTGGTGGTTGTTTTGTTGGGTTTTTTAACGCTCAGCTCCATAAGTCAGCACAGACAGAGCACCAGCCTTCCCTTCTTGGGGACAATTTGTCCCTTTAAAACACAGAATCAGAGAATATACTGAGTTGGAAGGGACCCACAAGGATCATTGAACTTAACTCTTAATCCTGCACAGGATCATCCCCAAGAGTCACACCATGTGCCTGAAAGTACCATTCAAACGCTTCTTGAATTCTGGCAGGTTTAGTACTGCAACCCCTCTCCTGGGAAGCCTGTTCCAGACAGAACTGTTAAAATAATGTAAAATAAAAATATCTTTGTCAAGTGGACACAATTAACCTCCTTACACCACAAATTTGCTAGAAGATCCCAGGTGATCCAAGTCCATCACTGAGGTGCAGCTATCGTTGGACTAATTCTCAAACACTTAAAACATAGTTGTGTCTGACAGATTCCTAACAAGAATTACTTCTAGGTTTCAAATATGCAATTTAACTACACATACTGTATGCAAATATGTAATTTAACTATACACTGACATTTCTCAGATACCCTACTTTAAAGAATTCAGCATGACTGATCATCTTAGATATCTATGACAAACTACATTTCTGAACATTCAAGGTACTTCTGAAAAGCTATACCACAGTTGTTTTCATCATCAGGAGGTAATAAATTTGTTTTGAAAACACATTAGAAAGTTGTTTTTTTTCTTGAACAAGCTGATATTAATGATACTGACTTTAAAGGATAATAAAGGGAAAGAAATAAACACAGAAAGATGAAGAACAATTTTGCAATTTGAAGAAAAATCCACTGAAAATTAACGTGGAATAATTCTGCAATCCTTTCCACGGGGATGATGCCAAATGGCTGAACTGGCAGCACTTGCATTGCTTTCCCTCTCCCCCCCCCCGCTGATTAATGATGAAGTGCTAATTAGTGACAGTTTTACATTACAAGGATGTATAAATGTTTGAGTTATTTCCTTCTGAATGATTTCAAGTTTCCTCATGTTCTTTTCTACAACATTCCCCACACAAACAGATCCTTTCCATGTAACTCAACCTTGTGCACAGATTAGGGAATCTACACCATGCCCTTCCCAACATTACAACTGCAAGCATGTCAGTAGCTGGGCCAGCTATGTTATCTCTTGCTACCCTACTACAAACAAGTATCAGACTGCCTGAACATAAAGCATGTTTAGGCACACCTCAGACATAGACATGGCCAGAATACATGTTCATATAATCTTGGTCCTTTTGTGGCAAATTTACTCAGCTGCTGTTTAAAATCTTAAGATCCACTAAAAAAAAATAAATCTTGGTCCTTTGCTTGCTGTAAGACTGAATCACATCTAGTTTCTGTGGTGGGTTGACCCTGGCTAGCAGCCAAACACCCACCAGATGCTCACTCAGTCCCCCCTCAGCAGGATGAAATGGGAAGAGGACTAAGCTCATGGGTCAACAGCAGGGAGATCACTTACCAGCTATAACAACCTTTCCTTGCTGCCTCATATTCACTCCCAGCTTCACCTACTCCCTATTGCTGCAGTCCCTTCAGTGAGACAAAAAGCAGTGCAAGGTGGTGGGGGGGGCTGTCTACAGTCAGTGTGCAACAGTTTCTCTCCGCTGCTCCTTCCTTTTCCCCCACGGGGGTTCTCTGTGGGCTGCAGTCCTTCAGGAACATTTCAACAACAGAGCACCTCCTCCTCTGACCCTAGGGTTCCCACTGTTGTCACTCCTTTTAGTTCCCTCCTCTCTCAGGAGCTCTCTTAGTCCTCTCCTTTCTCAAAGAAGTTTCCCCAAGGCACCCCCCCTCGGCTGTGGGCTCAGCCGCACCCTGCAGTGGGTGGGTCAGAGCCGGGTGGAACCAGCTGCATGGGGCAGCCCCCGCCTCCCGTCACAGAGCCGCCCTGCCTGGACACCTACCTGGACACCCCGTGCAGTTTCACAATCAGACAGAAATTTTGTCTTGCCCATGAAGTGCTTCCCTGCAACTCAGAAAGCTTTGGTAACCCACTGCTAAGTTCCCATAGGGCAGAACTCATACTGCAAATAGAGGACCCAAGTCCACCTAGAACATCCTGCAGCCCCCACAGACAGCTGACAAGTTAGCCCAATCTTACCAAGACTATCTTTTTCACAAAATTATCCCTCGGAAACACCCGGCTATCACTTCTCCAAATAGAAGGAAGGAGTTTATCCTCAAAAATAGGTCTTTACAAAAAAGCACAGGAAGTGAGGGACTGATGTTGGTTCAAATACAAGGTCTGATTAGTTCAATGTCATACCTTCTACAAAAGTCATTACTGTCAGTAGGCATTTTCTATGTGGTGTTACAGTAGATATAATCTGGACAAAACTAAGGCTTGAAAGAGGTCTGTTATCTCCTTTAAAAAGTTTGCATAAAGTATGATTTTACTTATTAGGAAAGCTTGAGTATGACCATGTTATAGCTATTCCTCATTTGTCTTGCATATAAATGAGACTACAACCTGAAAATTCTGACAACCCTCAATGCACATAAACACCCCCTTGTTATCTGTACACAATCACTTTCCCCTTCACTGACCAGCAAGACAAGTATCTATAAAGACAATGCACATACAAATCCTGGGCAAGAGTTGTCTCCTTCAAAAAGTGTTCATAAACTAAAATGCACCAAAGGTGATATGAGTGACTAAATGTGGAATATACACACCTTGAGGGTCCTCCTGAACTGTGGTACTAGAAAATAGGTACTTTTACAGTTGATTAATGTGAAGACATCAAATTGTCCTTCAATAGCGCGAACAAATCCGGTGATCCCAAATACTCACCCATTCCTCAATGTATACTCATTTTTCTTCAGATGACATCCAAGTTCCTGACCACTAAGCTATAGTTACTTTAGTCTGCCATAATAAGGTACATCAGAGTAACTTCAGGGACATGAGGTGTTATATTATGTGCAAACAACCTCCGTTCACAGGTTGACTTTCACCTGTTTTTCAGTCTCAAGTCAATGCATACTACAGTGCTTTCCACAACAACAGAAGCTTTTAGCTCAAGTAGACTTTTGTGCAATCAGAAAGTAAAATCCTTTTTCTTGGAGTGCTGCATAATTCCTGCTATTTGACCCCAGTTTTCAGCAGAAACCTCTCCCTCAATACTAGAGAAGCACATTCGGTAGAGAACAAAACCAAAAAAGTGATAATGATAATAAACAACCTAGCAAAGAACAGGCAGTCATTTACTGCTAGTCATTTGTTTCACTCAGATGATAATCATCACACAGAAATGGAAATGTGCTATTTTGCTGGGTGACTGGAGTAGCTGATGAAGTATTTCTGTAGAAATTCACTACTGCAGGTAGGAATTGTTTCTCACAAAATTATGGAACTCCCTTTATGGAGAGCTACTACAGTTTACCATTACAGTCTGATTCCTTTAGCTTGTTCTAAGACCTGATTATCTGTACTTTATCAGAATAAACTAGGGGAGTCACTCTAGCCACTTTCTGGCTGAAGACGATATACTCCTTCCAAAGATTCTTCATCTCCTTCTTTTTTTTTTATTTATGAAAAAAAAAGTTTTCTGAATGTCTTTTGAATATCTAATTATCTCAAGTTACATTGTTACAGTCACATATTTTATTAGCACCAATACATGTAACAAAATACTGAAACAGTTTTTTCTTTTGCAAAATTCTTTAAAATTCTGAAGATGCCTGCTATTTTTTTCTGAAGGACAAACTTCCCTGTTTGCCAAGTAAACCTTCAAAGTGTATAGTTTTATTCCAAATTGCTCGATAACATACATTCAAACAATAAACTGATGAAAGAATAAAGTCTTAAAATTAAATAGATACATGTTGTCCTCTGGCTAAAAAAAAATCCTCAAGCAGCATACTGTTGGAGAACATTGTGGGGAAGCAGTACAATATACTTATTTTATTCCAATAATCTTTTTTACAGTATTAATGGTCACAATATATTAGTGTAAACAGCAGTATTGAATTTTTTTATTTACCTTAATTTCTGCTACTTT